AAAAAAAAAAAAAAATACCTGCGCTTATTTGAGGAGCGCGAATTCCCACGGCAACTATGTCCTTCATGCGAAAGAAATTTTGCACGGCGTCGCAATCGCTCGTTGAATTTGTCACAGTGCTACCGACCCTGGAGACGGAGACCACCAAGATCACGGTCACCAATCGCGCAATCACAATTTTTACCCTCATTGCACCACCGATCATTGTCACAGTCAATCAAGAATGCCGTGAGCCTGCCTACGACGGCAAACACTAGCATAACTTTCCGCAGTCACCTCCGCAACAATGCGCATTCCTCTTATATATCTATATATATATCTATTTGAGTTCGCACACCGACTTCTCCAGGCTCAACTAATGTCCTGTCATCCCCCTACTAAAAGAGAGGACCTCTTACCACGTCGAGCGTTCACGGCGCTCTTAGAATGCGATCTGGCGGCGACTCACGCAGCAGATCCGGCCCCAAGTCCGCCGGCGTTCCGTACTTTCTGTCTGTCTTTCTGTTTACATTTTTTTTATTTCCATGCGGCACAAAACGCTTGCGCATTGAGCAGTCTGCCTACAACTTTTGGAAAGGTGATATTAGATTTGCACCTGTACAACGTTGCCAACAGAATGCTCATTTTACAGCCGAAGGTACCTGTCCGATACCCAACATCATGCATCCAATTCAACATAGCATTCCTTAATGTTAATAATCCGTTTTATTAGGACATTTTTTGCTTTAAAACTCATAAAACGTCACTTCAAAGATGCCATTACATTACTTTCTTTTAACCGAAACTGCTTAAGTAACAATCCTGCGCAACTATGACTTAATCAGTATATGAGTATATGCAAGCGTCGGTTTCCGCGGCTAATCTTTATAGCAATAGCTGGGCTTTAACCGCTTCTTCATTACATTTCATGAGCATCCTATACCATTCTTGAAAGAGAAAACTTTCCAATTTCATTATAATACTCAAAATCGTGCACGAGACTTTTTGGTATTATTTTTATCTTTTGTTTTGTAAAATAGTATGATTCTTCAAAGCTTTAAGATTAATATTCTATTAGGTTTTTTCACTAACATGTAGGTACCTTTCATCTGATACCATTCACAAATGATACTCTCAAAATGCTCGTCTAATGGAATCTGGACTTTTTGACACAAAAACTTTACGAAAATACATGTACCCCTAAAGTGCGCGTTTTAGTAATGTATGCATGAACCCAATCATTCCGCACTCTTTTCTAATGAACGTACAATGTTGGGGCCGGGACCTTTAATTGGAGGTATGGTACATGTAAATCCGACATGCGCAAACACTTATAGCTACTAGTTAAACTACTTCTAAAATTAGTTACCTAGGAGTTTTTACTTTAGTTCTAATGTTAATTATCTTAATTGTACAAAAATTTAAATTATGACTTCCGCTGGGACAAAGCACTCCGGAGGTAGATTAGTTCCCCACCTCTACCTCGGGGAATGTCATCAAGAACTGCAATAGGGGAAGATGTAATATTTCAAAAGTTATAACGTGGAATGTTAGATAGTTGGGTTGTGGGAGGTTCTAGTTTTAGAGAAATGGAAAGATAAGTACAGAATAGGAAAGGGGGAGGTGCGTATCCAATCAGTCTTTGGCCTGATGATGATGATTATTATTATTATTAATTGTCTTATCTGTCAAATTCCCAAAAATAGTTAACATATTTATTATCATTTACTCATTTCAAAGAAATTAACTTAAAGTTAAACATTGTTCTGCTATAAAGTCTACTATTACAATTGTAAACTTTACTCTTATGCAAAAATCATTTCGTCCCTACGTCGTTTCGGTTGATTGCCTCTCATTTGGCATTCAGGATGATTAAGTAATTCGGGAGGGCAGGTAGAAACGGGAGAAGCCACTAACATATTCTTGAGGTCATGAAACAAAGCCGAATCATCCTGAGTAACAAACGACACAGCCACTCCAGTTTTTCCAGCACGCCCAGTACGCCCAATACGATGTGTATAATCTTCAATTGTTTTTGCCATATCGTAATTAATAACCATAGAAACATCCTTGATATCGATACCTCGACCAGCGACATCAGTGGCAACAAGAATGTCTTTCGCTCCAGATTTTAGACTGGCTAAAGCATACTCACGCTGTTCTTGACCTTTACCACCGTGGAGTGTACAAGCATTGTGTCCCAACTTTTCAAGTCCCTTGGCCAAAACATCTGCTCCTTTCTTTTGGTTGACAAAAATGATAACAGGAGGTTCTATTCCTCGTGAGAGATATTCCATTAGTTTCTTCCTCTTGTCTCCCTCAGTTACCAAATGCACTATTTGTTCAACACGGTCAACCGGTTTGCCTGCGCTACCAATATACACGACAGCTGGACGTCTAAGATAAGTTCTTGCAAGTCTTTCTACAGCTGCAGGCATAGTAGCTGTAAACATTACGGTCTGACGATATTTCTTTTTTGTGTTATAATTGGCGAGAAGTAGTTCTGAGTTTTCAGCTTCTTCTGTGTCTGGTTTTAAGTTGGTGACAGGCATGTAATCTAAAATCTTCTGTACATCAGGTTCAAAACCAAGATCAATCATACGATCGGCTTCGTCGAGAACAATGTATGTACACTGATTGAGTACCAAGTAACGATTCTCTAGAACGTCAATTAAACGACCAGGAGTTGCAATTACTATTTCACATCCCATTCTAAGTCGGAAACCTTGTTCTTCACGACTGAGACCTCCCACAACTACTACAGTACGAATGCCCAATGGGCCTCCAAATTTGACCGTTTCTTCTTCGATTTGTTGAGCCAATTCGCGAGTGGGGGCGAGAATTATGGCGTAAGGACCTTGGTCGGCATCTTCTGTTCTTTCAATTTTTGGAAGGGATTGTATCCATTGTAGCAAGGGGAGTAAGAAAGCCAAAGTTTTTCCAGAACCAGTTTCAGCCACACCAATGATATCACGATTTTGCATACCAATTGGTATTGCCTGTCTTTGGATGGGGGTAGGTTCTCGGTATCCCGCTTTATCAATTAATTCTAAGACTTCTGGATTCAATCCAGACTCTTTCCAATTACGTATGGGTTCGGGTATTCGACCGCCTTTAATGCTAATATTATAGTCCTCACGAAAGATACGCCAGTCTCTTTCGGTCATTTCAGCAACAGCTTTTTCAGACCAGTGCCTGTCGTCCCATAGTTGTTTTTCTTCTTTTCTGCGTACTTTTCTCAATCGTGCTTTTTCTTGTTGCTTTTCAGCTTCTGTTCTGCGTTTTTCTAATAATTCTCCGTAAAATCGACTTTGGTCACGTTTTTGAGCTTTAATATCAATTCCTGCCAAATTTCCTCGGCCGAAAAATTGAACTTGATGACGTTCTTTGTATAAGGGATTGTAATCTGTGGATGTGTCTTCAGCAGCATCCCAATCGAAAACAAATTTACGATCGTTAAGACGTCGAACGCGACGTTTCTTTTTTATTAGCCCCAAATAACGTTCGCGAATGGCATCTTGTTCTCTTTCTTTGTCTTTATCTTTCTGTTTATCTTCTTCTTTAACTGGGTCTCGATCTCTGGTTCGCTTTTCCCGATCGTCACTGCGGCTTGGAATTGGTGCCGGTAATTTTACCGATTCAAACAATTTTCGTTCCTCTTCCTGCTGTTTTCTAAGTTGACTGACTTCTTCTTTACGTCTTCTCAAGGCCTCCTCTGCCCGTTGTTGTTTTGTTAGGAACACAGGCTGTTAAAAAAAGAATACAGATTACTATCGACATCTTTCTAAACTTAACTTATTATTAGAAAATCTGTAGCAATATCAAGATATACTTTAAAACAGTAGAATAATTAATTAGAAATTTTGCAAATGATTCATTGTGAAAATGACAATGTAGTTGTAATTTATTGGATTACCTTGCTTTTTGCTGCTTCCTCTGCTTTCTTTTTAGCCAGCAACTCTTCCAAGGAAAGGGGTTCTTTTTTAGTATTTTCAGTTTTTACATCAGGCTTTATTTCTGGTTTTGCATCTGCTTTCATTTCTTCAACTTCAGGAGACGGTGACTGTTTATCCCTATTTCTCTTTTCGTCTTTATTATCTTTGCTGGCTTTATCCTTTTCTTTATCATATCTAGAACTATCGCGATCATACTTGTAATTCTCCTTTTCGTAACGTAGATCTTTACTACTTCCTTCATACCTGGAGCTATATTTATCTCTTGGAGATTTTGAACGATGGCGTTTGTGGCCCCTTTCTTTACTTCGTGACCTGGACCTTCGTATTTTCTTGTCGCGGTTTTCACGATCGGATCTGTCTCGACTGCGAGATCTTCTCTTTTTATCGTTTACCATTTTTATATACAAATGCTTCCTCACCACTAAATGCACATAAAACACATTTCCTTATTATTTAAATTCACTTTTGATCCGACATAAAATAAACAATTAAAAGCTGAATGTTTAATTTTATTTTAATTGCAAAATATGAAAAGTAATAAACGCTCATATAACGTTCTTAAAGATAGGCTAAGAATTGATTTTGTAGAGGTTATGGCACATTACTGTCAACATAGTACTGTTCATATAATAGCCAACCGTAAATTTTAAGTATTCATAAATTTTAAAACATGTACTTCTTTAATGGCCGACTGTTTCCATAGCAACGTTCAAATCCAAAAAACACCAATTTTGTTTATTTATATTGATAATTAGCTGTTTTTTAAAGGGTTTTAGCTTGGTTGACTTGAATACTTTCTTCTCGCAATTGTAGGTCTTACATGCTTTGTATGTTATTACAGACAAACCTATAAGCACCTATTTATCGCCAAATAACAGCTTAGAAGTTACACTATTTTGCGACTGAAAAATAGAATTTGTTATTTTTACAATAAACTATGTACTTGTAAGGTAATGATCAATTAAAGAACTTTTTTCTTTTTAAAATTGTGGTTTATTTTGTTGGTTGTATTTGGTTTTTAAAAATGAAAGAAATGTTAATATAAAATAATTTATTGCACTAAAATAATAATAAGTTATCACATGTATTCATATAATTAAACAAAGCATAAATATAAAAATGCATACAGATACTTCTAAAAATACAAAACTCGTCATGTACTTCCAGAATCTGCCTTCAGTTACATTAAAAAAGGAAACTAAAATACGCGCCTGAAAAGTTTTTACAACAAAACTTTCTTTTTGGAATCGTAAGAACAATTATTACAATTAATTAATCCATAATAATTGATGTAAAAAATAATGTACGACCAGGGAAGGGAACACGTAAAATTAGTAGCATGTCACAATTCGTAACGGCTGGCACTGAATAACTTAAACTACGGACTAGACATAATGAACTAGAAAAACGGAATTTTAGATATAACTAATTCATTTCAAATTGACCTTTAAAAGCAGTCCTTGCAATATGAGTGCTCCCGATTCTTTCGTGCACCATTCGGTACCATCTTGAGACACTGAATAAGCTCCAGGCTTGACCAAAAGTTCAAACATTGCATGAACCTCTTTGTTTTCCATGAGGAAACCTTCGGTCGTGCAATTTTCAAGAGTTGGCTTGAACAGAACTTGAAGATTGTCTTTCTTCTGACTGACTAGAGTGCCCCACTGTTCCTGACCTTTGGGTAAAAATAAATTTGATTAAATTTTGTATACAGAAGAACTTTATCACTTTACTACTATTATTTATGATTTTAAAATATTTACTTGGTTATTTTAATACCAAAAGTAAGTAAAACTTACTTTTTGAAAGCGGTTGTCCCCTATCTAATATGCTGCGAACAAAATTTAATTTTGTACAATAATATGCAGATTGCCATTTTTCAGTTTGTACTGCGATTGAAGTGAAATTATGAAGCGGAAACTTAACCCAGCCTGAAAAAAAGGAAACTGTTTTTGGAATTCATAATTATTAATTTAAAATTATTACCGATTAAAAATTTTTGTTTCTCTTCGATATTTTTGTGGCAATTGCTACAGTAGCAAACTGATTCGTCGCTTACAAAATACTGCTCTGTAACGGTAACAGAAATAATTTATAAATATAAGAAATTCATACCTTAATTATTAGGGATTAGTCAAACACTCACGATTTCTTGTAAAAAAAGTACCTATTTTACCTGGGAGAAACAACGACTTCTTTAAAGTTTCACAATCCTGCTTGTATATACAGGGCGAATTTTTCAGTGGTGTCGACACAAATATACTTTGACTGTTCTGGTTAGAACTTGTTGATGGACTGTCATCAATGCCATTTAATGGCAAAGTTAAATTAATTAGTGACCTATCCTTTTCACATAATTCAAGATTTGCTTTCTCGCATTCAATATTTTTCGGCCCTTCTTCAGGAGCATTTACCAATTTCACCTGTGACAAATGAAAATTAAAAGGAAATCGTTATTAATGTCTTTTTCTATAATTTAAACCTGTTGACACTGTCCATACAAATCGAAAATGGCATAACACTGCAATCCCTTTGGTAAATTCCAAGGTACTGGTTCTTCAGCAATACCATCTACTATGATTTGCACAAAACCTTCTTGTTCAGAATACTTAATTCCCACCAATGATCCAGCTTTCAAATTGGATAATTTAGTACAATTTGATTTTGCCTGGAAAAAAAATGTTTTTGATTGAATTCATTAAATGTGTACGTCAAAAAATAAACTTACTTTTGTCCCATTTATTGATATCCAGTCATTGGCAATGACACAACAAGGCCCTTTAAATGACAAAGCAGTCACAGGTAAAGATAGTCTTTCAGGATTAGTACAACCAACTACTCCTACTATAAGGGACGAAGACCATTTGGTGTCCAATTGTTCTAAAGAAATCTTAACAACCTGTTCTGGTTGAAGGGGGGGTTGTACTATAACCACACCTTGATTGTAGGAAGCAACACGTTTTGCAGACGTTTTGTCTCCAATAATATCAATATTCCTTCCATGATTATCGTGAAATTCGTACCAAATATTTGACGTGTCTGGTTGTTCGTTGTGTTCAGAAATTTCGCTTGGTGGTGCAGCTTGTGACTTTAACATTTCTTGTTCAAAAGCAAGCTCGAGACTATCTTGAAGGTGGGAATTGGTTAAAGGAGTGGGTGGCATTTTTCGACTGGTCACAGCAATGCTGCAACAGGAACCTTTGAGCTCTGCTACTACATAAAGTTCTCCCGAGATGCTAGGGAAAGTTAGGAACAAGGTATCGTTGACGAAGGCCTTAATGGTACCATCTTGGCATTTTTGGAGACCTAAATGATCACCTTCTCTTAACCATTCTAAACTGGGGGCGAACAACTGACAGGGTTTGTTTTTCACACGAAGTTCATTCTCTGAAATACGGACAAATTGAAAATACTAAAATTTATAACAATAAGTGAGACTCTTAACCTGTCATATAGCAAGCATCTTGAGGAAAGACGGTAATATTACTGACGGGTAGTGTCGTGGTGACTCCTAAACATAAAGTTCCTGCAAAATGGGACATGAGTGACATGATGGTTATTTCGAATACTTCGTCACAATTTAAAGGAGTTGAGCTAAAGACAATATTATGTTGTAGCTCTTTCCCTCTGATTGCTACCCTGCCACCTTCACTTATAACTACTCCCCTACCATGACAATCATGAAATCTGCAATTCCAAAAAGTCCATATTAAATGCAAGAAAAAAAATAAGGATTATTGAATGATTAGAAATAAAACTTTTAAGTATTCAAAAAATAGGTAATTGTTTGAAAATTTAGCATTTTAATAAATAAGAGGAGTAAAATTAGTACCTGTGCAAATCTGCTTCTGCTTTTTGCTGCAATATGCTGGTCAATTGTGCGGACGGAGATGTTTCAGAACAGGCCTCAGGTGGGATGACAGTGAACGGAATAGATGTTGATGTGCAGGAAATGCTTACTTGTGAACATTGTCCGTATAGGTCGATCACGGCATAAATGTTAGGATAGGAAACAACACAGGCAGGTCCCTGTGGTATACCGTCTTTATAAAATTCTACTGTTTTCTCAGCGGTACGCATAACTCCAATTCGAGCGCCAGTTACAAGAGTATCCAAATCTAAACTGTAATTATTTTTAATGGTGTATCCATTTTCCATGATACATGGTCCACTCAACATCCACGTATCCCTTGTTAGATCAGTCGCAGTTGTGGGCAAGTCGATTTCGTCGGGTCTAACAGCTGTTATACCTTCACAAACATACATTTTTTAACAGCTTTTACAAATTCAAAATATTTTCGCGAATTAAGGAATTACCTAGTTCAACACTGCCTGACCATCTCTCTACAATGTTTTCTAATACAACTTCAAACAGCTCTCCATCTCTTAATGGCCTACTCGAAAAAACTATTGCATCGTTAAATTCTGCTAAAGGTCTCGGTCTTAAGGCTGTTATCCCATTATTCACTATTCTAGCGTTTTTGCCATGCACATGATGAAATCTTAAATCACTAAAAATGCAAACACTGACACATAAAAAGCTTTACTCATCTTGCTACTTTAATGAGGTAATGGAAAAGAAATGATTTTTTCTATCGCATACATTGACCCTTTATTAATGTTATTAATAAAAAATGTAGGTACCTGTATAGAGTTGTGTTGGACAAACTGGAATGTACTGTATCTGGTGAATAAGTGTCCATAGTGTCTATAATTGTGGCTTCAACAGCCTGACCGTACAAATCTTTAAAAGAAAAAATGCAAATTGTATAACAGATATTTTAAATTAATAATATTATTACTTACCAATGACACCATAAACCTTTTCTGGTACATTCGTAGCTGCAGCTCCCTGATCAATTCCATTTACAAGAAAATGTAAAACTCCACTATCTTTTCTAATTACCCCTACCCTGTCTCCTACTTGTAGCCTGTCCAAATTGACTCCGTACTGTTCCAAAACAGTTGTACCATTATGCATTATTCCACTCCCTGTCATCATCCATGTTCCTGACCTAACGTTGGTCATAGTAAAAGGAAAATCCAAATCAGTAGGACTGTGTGTGGTTACACCGATTTCTATAGATCCAGCCCATTTGGTAACTACCCTTTCTAGTCTGACCTCAAATAATTCACCTGTTTTGAGAGGGCGACTTGTCAATACTACGCCATTATTAAAATCATCGGCAGCATTGGGCCTTAAAGCGGTTCTCCCCCCATTAACAACCTGAGCGTGTGCGCCACAATTTGAGTGGAATGTTAGTCTGTCGTAATAATCAGAAAGAAATTGCATTTCAGGGGTTGGACACCTTTGTTCACCTCTGTTGTTTCTTCTAGTCATTAAGTTTTGCTCTTCTCTTTCATCTCTTTCGACTATAGAGACTTTGATGGTCATCCCGTAGAGGTCAATGACTCCCCATACAGTAGAGGGTATTCGTTGGGCCGCGATTCCTTGGTCTAGGCCGTTTATGAAATAGTGCAGGTCACCGTTAGGTTTTCTCATCATACCCACACGATCTCCTTCACATAATTCATCCAAATTAAAGTCTCCATACTCCCTCCTTGTTCCCTTACCATTTACAAGAATACCACATCCCGACATCATTACTGTCCCACTGCGCATGTTGGTCATAGTAGCAGGAAACACTAATGTGGATGGATTATGTGTTGTAGCCCCCATCTATTTTGAACATCAAAGTTTCTTGTTATTATTTAAATGTTACTTTTTAATAAGTTGCATATTTATTTTTAAAAGTTACTCCGAAATTTTATTATTTTGTGAACACTTGACTTTTGTTAATCTATGTTCTATATTATAAATTCTTTCTAAGCTAAATTTACTGAACACTTTAATAATATCTTTGAAAGAAAAACAAAATATGGAAAAAAAATAATTTTAAACCTCTATACTCCCACTCCATTTTTCAACTAGTCTATCAATTCGTATTTCAAACAGTTCAGCATCTCGCAGAGGTCTATGAGTCATTACAACTCCATTATTAAATTCATCTAATGGTCTTCTTCTTTCTGCTGTTCGATGTCCATTTGTTAATTTAATAAGGCTGCCACAGCGTTCATGAAATCTTAATCTATCATGTCTAGGAGTCTCTTCAGGCATAGTTAGGCTGACAATAATTAACTCATGAAAATATATTATGAAGAATATACAAAAATAGTTTTTCAAGTACCTAACATTCATGTCCATTCTAATATCCAAACTATTACTACTACTAAGACTTAGCTCACTTAAATCCGCCCCTAATGTAACATTAAGGATGTCATTATCAATGGCTAAAACTGAGCTACCGCTGAGACAGTCATCATTGTTGTGCTCTCTCAGAATTGGACCAGTTATGGTAACTTGAACACACTTGCCATACAAATCAACTACACCATACACTATGGAGGGCAAATTATCCACTGCTACCCCTTGGGGTTCTCCATTTATGTAGAATATTAATTCACCCTTAAAACCTCATTTTTCAGGAAAGTATTCTTTTTCAATAATAAACATTACTACCTCCGATGTTCTTAATAAACCAACACGGTCATCTTGACCTAGTCTATCCAAATCAGCTCCATATCTTTCAACAATTAACACCCCATCTTTTAAAATTGATTTGCCTGCTAGTATCTGCAATATGACAACTGTGGTCATGCATTAATTAAAATTAAATCAAAGTTTTTACCCATGTTTTAGTTTGAAGTTTTGAAGCACAAGGAGGAAATTCAAAATGCAATGGATCATGCTCTGTCACCCCTATTTCTAAAGTACCAGACCAAGATGAGACCTAAAAATTGTAGGTTAAGTTTCAGAAGGTGGTAATTTATAAATTAATGAAATGCTAAAAAGAATTATGAGTACCATTCTGTCAATTCTAACTTCAAAAAGGACATCATTAACCAGTGGTTCTGCTGTAATGACCAGTCCATGGTCGAAATCTGAATCGTTTCTGACTGCTGTACAATTGTCATTTTCTAAAGTAATTCGTTCCCCACAACGGTAGTGGAAATATGCCATTTCTTGAATGAATTAATTCATTGTATATATCATATTCTGTTTTCAGTACATACTAGCCATTTGTAAACAAATTAATTTATAAGGGAGGGTAAATATTTACGATCGACTTTGACAAACCATTTTGATTTAGGACTGACAGCTAACAAAAACAGTGTCCTGTATGCCTCTAATGTTGATATAAAACGTCACGGTATAATTTCAGTTGCTAGAAAACACGTTAGATGCCTGCACCACCTCATTTTAAAAGTAAAATAAAGTTCTTGTAATTAATTTAAAAGAGCGCAGAATGGATGATCAAAATTTAAAAATAATTTAATTTAAAGTAACTGTAAATTGCGCAGCCTGCCTAATCCAATCTTTTAAAGAATGTTAATCTTTTTACAACAACTCTGTTTTTATTACGTTTTGGGATTATTACAAAATAAACAGCTAATTAGAAAACGTAAATATTTAATAGAAAATATGTTTTGCGCTATATTATTTATCAGTTATTACACTGCTATTTATGAACCGAACGATATTAAAGGGGATCAATTGTACACAAAACTTACATTTTTAATTTAGTCCTTGAGGAGATAAGTAATGTTTATAATAATAAATAAATTTTTCATAAAATCCTCAATTTTTCCAGCCTTTTTGTCTACATAGAAAAACGAATGTTATGGATTTTTGTGACTTTCAAATTGTATAACATTTGAATTTGAATTTTTCGGATCTATTAGAAACAAGATTTCGGTTCCTCAGATAGATTATATCATCGCTTTCCCGAACTTCAGAATTTTTATAGTCGTTATGTACAAAAGTTTTGTTTACATTCTTTGTTTTAAAATTTCAATAACTCAGAATTCTGCATCATTTTGCTGATAACATTCATGAGATTTAATATTATCTAATGCTAAATCTAAATAGAAAATAAAAGTGGCTTGTTTATAATATAATAGGCGAAATCTATAGTCTGCCAGACGATTCCTGTTTTTCTTTTTTTTTTTACGATTGTTACGATTTCAGCTTTAATAATCGTAAGTATTCAACCACGTATTTTTTTGTACATTTTTGTGCTATGGGAGCTTGAATAGTTTTCATCCCTATCACAAAGTGAACCTTTAGGGTTCAACCACTCCACCTTCAGCTTATGTTATATTGACTATGAAAAATGCCGTTTTTATAGTTAGATACAAGACAGTTGGTTTTCACAGATTTTTGTCTTCACAAAACTCTTGGTATTTTTTCTAATCAAGACGATAATTTCATGCTACATGGTACAAATTATTATTAAAAACTGGTACAAATTCCGAAAAGTCGGGACCTAATTCTATTTAATACCGAAAAAAACATTGTTGCCGTCCCTATATTTGCGTCGACTAGGGTATATGGTCCCCTTTGTACTCCCCACGCTATGCCACTCTTATTTTATTTATTTATTTATTTATTTATTTATTTGAAGTAGGCAGCAGTTTCAAACTGGTATAGTAGTCTACATTTCAGAAAATACAAATTATAGTGAACAAAACTGTGTAGGAGATCATTTGAGAGGGGGGGGGTCCTGGCAGCTCATCTCGTAGATCCAAACAGGTGACGGTGCAAAGACGCCTTGAAGACATCGATGCTCGGGGCCTGGGCTATGCTCGCCGGAAGAGAATTCCATGTGGAGATAACCCTGTTGCCCAGGTGGTACTCTCGGTGTTGCGTTTTGAAACGCGACACGTTCAACCTCAGATTGTGACCCCGTTGCGACGTCGACCTGAGGAAGATCTTCTGCAGGTCGGAGGCACGGTACAGACCGTGGAGGATACGATAGGTCTCCGTGAGGTCAGCAAAAAGGCGCCTGTCTGCCAGGCTTTGCAGCCCAAGCCGTCTCAGGCGCTCCTCGTATGGCAAGGACTTCAGTGCTCTGGGTATCTTCGAAGCGCGTCTCAGGATACCCTCCAGAGCCTTGATGTCCTTCTGGAGGTACGGAGCCCAGACAGTGGACCCGTACTCGACCATCGGAAGTACGTAGGTGGTCAGTACATTCCGTAGGAGCGGGATGTCCACCTCCACAACGGCTTTGCGGACACGATAGAGGAAGGAGTTGGTTTTCTTTACTACGGCGGTGGTTTGTAGGTCCCATTTAAGATCATCAGACACGATGATGCCTAGATCTACCTGAGAGGTAACAGGAGCCAGCGCCAGGTTTCCAAGATGGTATACCCTGTGTGGGTTTTTCTTCTTCCCTAGGTGTAGGACAGTGCACTTCCCCGGGTTGAGCGGGATCATCCAATCGTGGGACCACAGAGCCAGGTTGTCAAGGTCCTGCTGGATGGAGTCACCGTGGGTCAGTGGGTTCCCATAAATCTTATTATCATCCGCGTATGCCTGGTGCTGGGATGTTGTTCGCACGTGCAAGTCGGATGAGTAAAGATTAAAAAGCAGGGGACCAAGAACAGAGCCCTGGGGAACCCCACTCGGAGCCGACCTAGAGGTGGAGAGACGGTCACCAATCCTTGTCTGGAAGGTCCTGTCACGTATGTAGGCCTCGATCCAGGCAAGAAGTTTGCCCCTGATTCCCAGATGGTGTAGCTTCTGGAGCAGCCGTCGTTGTGGAATCTTGTCAAAAGCCTTCGAGAAATCGAGGTAGACAATGTCCACAGGAATCCCAGAGTCCACCGCTTTGGCCCAATCGTCCAGACAAAGAAGCATGTTGGAGCTGATCGAGCGCCCAGGTGCGAAAACGTGTTGTTGGGGGGGAATGATACATAAAAAATCGAAACGTTTTTCAGTAATTTTTGGAATAATTAATTCCTTCAATTTTATTAGTAGATACTAATTAACATCCATAAGAAAATGGAAAATGTATGTTTTCGGTAAAAACGACGTGTACATCAATATCGCATGTTGAAGTCGACGGCAGGCGTCTTGTTCAGGCGTTCGCAACCTCGTCACAGTACACGGTTCAGCCACCACCAGCCACCCCCGACCCCTTGGCCATCCGCGGCCTCGGCTGATTATCGAGGCAAGACCGCCCGCTGCTGCCGCCGCTTTGCCGCACGTTGTCCGTCGTTTCTGCCTTCCGCCTCCGCACTACTACAGCCAACGAAGCGGAAAGAGCGTTGGTGACGGCGGCGGCGGCAATAGAGGGTTGAGAGCGGAGGCGGTAACAGCACCAGCCAGAGACCTATTGTTGGCACTTCGTTTAATAGCTGCGGGTATGTGATCAGGGTGAGCAGCCGATGCCGATGCCACGGACGCCACTGACGACATCGTCGTTGTCGACCTTACTTACCACCGCGCGTCGAGATATACGTTGGGAATTTTAAATCGTATAAAGTAACTTTATGGCAACTGTGAATTTGGGGAATTAAATAAAAAAACTCTACTTGCAGCGATAGGGAACATTTTGATATATAAAACTATAATTTATGTCATATTCGGACCTTAATCTTACAAAAAGTCAAAGAAGTCCAGACAAGCTAGCGAAAAGCCATTAGGGAAACTCACCATTGTTCGGGAATGTCAAAAATTCTAGGATTCAAGGTATAACTTCGATAAATTAAGGAAATTTTGCGAATTATATTTCCCAAGGATCAGGGTCTTAGCGAAGTATTCTGTTTGGGGGGGGGGGGCACAACCAATTACCTACTGTGTACTTTAATGTTCCAGTTAATGTTTTACACACCCACTTACAAAAATATGCATTGATAAATAAAAAATAATTATCAAACTTAAATATTAAATCAACTTAATTCGATTCCACTACATAATGAAGAAAAAGTTTTTGTTGCTATTTTCACACCATCGCCGGGAATCGAACCCGAAAGGCATTGTTAGCACAGTAGGGTAATACTATTAGTTTACTCGAATTCGCCTGTGTTTAAGTTTCGTCCACAAATTCACCGTATTGTTTAGGTCAATAGCATTGCAAAGATCTTTTTCGCGTTTTATCATCATTAGGGCACCATGTCTCTCCTCTTTAATGATGGACCTGGTCAAATCTTTAACAACTATTTTAAATAAACCTTTTTTGTTCGAAGCCACCGAAAAGCTCGCTGTAAATATGAGCTTACAAAGACGAAGCTTCCCCAAAAGTTGTTTTATATTTAGCAGATACCTTCATGATGTCCTATATAAAAGAGTAGACATCAAATAATATCTCTAACTGTGTATGAAGCGGTTATCACTCAGCCATACGATCAGGTGGATACAGCAGAGTCAATTTTTCAGTATTTTCACTTGTATAGTAGTATTCTTTTTGTCTAAAGGGTTAATGAGAACGTTTGAGATTGGATTCAAAATTTCTACAACCATGAGAAGCAATAATGGCCTGAAAACATTTTTTGTCCACAATTTATGGATCACTATTCAAGAAAGCTAGGAAGGACAGCTTTTTAAAATCAGAAACGGTAGCTGGTATCTGCGCCACGGTAACCAAAATTAAAAGTTGGGTCGCTAATAAGCATACCAAGGTGAGGAGCAACACTAACAGATGCAGAACAACCACTGCCTTCATCTAAACATACATATGAGATGGAGGGTTAGTCAAAACTGATACTAGAATTGTGTAAGGGAGATGTACAAATCCTGATGGGTATTGTTACTGGTCATGGTTCCTTTGTGGAAGCACAGACACAAGATGAAACTCTGGAGAAATAGTAACTGTAGATTCTGTACGGATGAGGAAGATGAGACGTCGCTAATAAACATCTTTTTCCGCAAAGAAAAGGGGCACGTTCCTGCTAGTCAATATACAATATGAGGTTAAAAGCGTTATAAGGATTCTCGATAATTGTTACCTGACGGACGCCAAGGGACCATCCGTGTGTCTGGAGGCACCCTGGATGTCCCAACTCTTACAATAACATGAAGAATCACTTAACAAAGTTTCACAAGGTTTTCACATTTGTAGAAAATAATTTTGAAGGAATTGAGGAAACGAAATCCGAACTATAGTAATTTGTGTTGGTGTTAAAACTGAATTCACTCTCAAACAAAGTATGACCATTTGGGTGAAAGCTGCAGATAAAAAAGAAGACTACGTTTTTATATTAAAAAGGAAATATGATGAAGTAATACTTCATCATTATTATGTACCTAAATACTGTTCAGCTGTTGTCTGGTCCTTTTTGAAAAATATAAAGTTAAAAGGTCTGGGATTATGCCTGCTAACTCTCTCTTTGGTATGGTTTGTGTT